CCTTGCCCAGACATGCACAGGCTCAGTGAGCAGATGTGCCCCTTGCCCGGACGTGCACGGGCTTGGCGACTAGACGTGCCCCTTGCCCGGACGTGCACTGGCTTGGCGACTAGACGTGCCCCTTGCCCGGACGTGCACAGGCTCGGCGAGTAGATGTGCACGGGCTCGGTGAGCACGGGCTGCAGAAGGGCAGACATGCACCTTGTCTGGATACTCACACGGCTCAGAGGCAGACGTGCACCTTACCTGAACATGCACCAGCTCGGAGAGCAGATGGCCCTCTCAGCAGACATGCCTGGGGCTCAGAGAGCAGATGAACCCCTCAGCTGATGGGCCTGGGGCTCAGAGAGCAGATGAACCCCTCGGCTGACGGGCCTGGGGCTCAGAGAGAAGACGAACCCCTCGGCAGATGGGCCTGGGGCTCGGAGAGCAGATGAACCCCTTGGCAGATGGGCCAGGGGCTCAGAAAGCAGATGAACCTCCTGGCAGATGGGCCTGGGGCTTGGAGAGCAGATGAACCCCCTGGCAGATGGGCCAGGGGCTTGGAGAGAAGACGAACCCCTCGGCTGATGGGCCAGGGGCTCAGAGAGCAGATGAACCCCTCGGCTGATGGGCCAGGGGCTCAGAGAGCAGACGAACCCCTTGGCAGACGGGCCTGGGGCTCGGAGAGAAGACGAACCCCTATGCAGATGGGCCAGGGGCTCGGAGAGCAGACGAACCCCTTGGCGGATGGGCCAGGGGCTCGGAGAGCAGACAAACCCATTGGCGGATGGGCCAGAGGCTCGGAGAGCAGACGAACCCCTTGGCGGACGGGCCAGGGGCTCGGAGAGCAGACGAACCAATTGGCGGACGGGCCAGGAGCTCGGAGAGCAGACGGGCCCTTTGCACAAGGCCTTTTTAGAATGTGGAAAGCCAAAGCTGCATAAATAGGAAATCTGTGTTGCAGAGCCCCTAATTATCTTTGTACAGCCCCACAGAGCCCATAGGACTGAAAAGCAGAGCTCTTGTCCACCCACCCGTGACAGGCTGTGGTCATTACTGGGACCAAATTGCTATTTCTTAACACTGGTTTGTAGCCTGTTCAGGTGTTGCTCCAGGCTCCAGCTCGGAGGTGCGTATCTGAGGGTCACCCAGCAGCAGTGCTAGTAGAGTGCGGCTGATCCTCATTAAATACACACTGTGGCTGGCCCAGAATGGATCCACCAAGGGGTGGGAAGAGTACAAGAGTCTCCTCCACTCCTGCCTTCCTGCACAGGGACCAGCCACAATGCTCACGCCCCCTGGTGAAAGGTCAAGGGTGAGCCAGATCCACGCTCTCACACCACCCAGCTGAACCAGCCAGCTGCGCCCTCTCATGGGGGGCTGAAGCCAGTGGGGAAAGCCTGGGCAGGCTGCTCCCTCTGCTCTGGCCAGCTGAGCCAGCCTGTGCAGAGCCCCAGGGGAGGGACTGTGACTGCAGCACAGTCCCTCCACTCCCCCAGCAGAGCGCTTCTGGCTTCAAACGCCTGGATCTGGTCCAGAAGCGGCTCCGCTGTGCAGTCCGTGATCAGGCTCAGCTACCGATCCGTTCTGATGGGGGTTTGGAGTAAGGGAATCAGGATTTGGCCCAGGCAGTTTATTTTCAAAGGTATTTTATGGCCTGGAGCGAAACACACAACGAACATTAACACACTACGGAATACAAACCAAAGAAGGGAAATGGGAGTATGGGACTGATCGCTCCAGCATGCACTGCAAGGAGCAGCCCAGCCCTGCCCCTGCCCTGCCAGGACCACAGGCAAGAATGGATCCAGCAGACTTTTCTGTTTTGGACTCTTGAGATTCACTGACAGTCCTGGCCAAGCAGGCCCTTGACGAATGACAGGCGTCGCTAAGTGCCTCTCCCATTCAGGACTCCTCCCAGGCTGCATGTGAATCAGCTAAACCAGAATTGCAGGTTTGAGAGAGCGGAAAACATTGTGAGAGAGGAGGAGGGAAAGGCTGGGACTGGGAGACGCCACCGCAACAGCCCTGCGTGGGGATATACCAGCAAGTCCCCATGGAGAACCCGGAGGAAGCCGAGGTGGATATTGACACGCTCATTGATGAGATGGACTATATTCCTGGTCACTTCCACCTGGAGATGAACATGAACTTCGAGCCCTGCTCCCCTGTGAATTTCAGAGGGAGGGACATGAAGCTTAAGCGAGACAGCCTGATGTATGAGCTAGAGCTTGAGTCTGGCTCCCAGCAATTCGCCGTCAGGAACCTGCTCGGGGTCTTCTCCTTCCACCTGGAGGAGATGGAGCAAGCCAAGGAGATCTTCCTGAGCATCTCCCAGGAGGACCCTGACAACCTCAATACCTGGGCCAACCTGGCCTACGTGTACGACAGGCTGGACAGCGAGCAGGAAGAGGCTGACTGCACCAAGAAACTAGCCCACTTAATGGGCCTGGGCTCAGAAGACGAGTCTCAGGGGGATCCCAGGCTCCGAGCAGCCCGCTGTCTGGCAGAGCAGGGCTATGCTTACGTCTTTGACATTGGGCTTGTGGATGAAGAAGACCGAATGGAGAAACTGACTGCCGGACTCATGCTCTATGACAAGGCTCTTTCTTATGGGCAGCAGGTCAGTCACAGCTCCTACCTATGTGTAGATTGCTGTCTGGTATCACTGGACGTACTTGCCATGTGTCTTTGTAGGGCCTCTATCCTTTGGGCAGAGCAATTCAATCATGGGTTCATTATGATCGCGGGAACCTAGAGTAGGAACTAATTTACCAGCTAATAGCTGAGCTTGGGTATGACAGTGCAGACAACTATAAGCCAGAGGGAATAAAGTCCTGCCAGGAGAAAGCTTCTGGAAATTGCTCCTATCTTAGTATTCGGCCCTCCTTCGTGCTGTGTCACTTAAAATTGTTGATCTCTATGGGCCCGATCATGCAGATCAGCCCCTATAAAGGCGACACGATTCTGTAGCTGGATGGAATCGTGGAAAGTTTTAAGCCCGTTTTAAGTTACTCTGGTCTTACGTGATCAGAATAAACGGTGTTCTGCACTTCCAGCCTTATCTTCTCTAGCTGTTCAAACAAAGGTGCGTCCTTCTGCACATGCAGTGTGTGGCTGCCCTCTGGGAGCTCATAAAAGACCAGTGGCTGGTATGCTCATTTAAGGGGAGCGCTTGGGTCAAGAGGTGGTTTTGTTTATTGTTAGAATAAGAATTGCACGGTGTACACTCTCTGAGATATCAGAATAGATGGAGCATCAGTGTAGCACACACATTGAATTTGCTTCAAGACACTAACTGTGTTCTGTTGACAAAGCCACAGAAAATGTCCTTCCTTAAGCCATTCAGCTCAAGGCTTTGTGTCAAGTGCAAATACTTCTCCCAGCCGTGTTTGGAAGGGGCTTCAAGGCCTTCAGCTAGAAGGTGCTATCAAAATGCTCAGGAGTGCTACAGCTCAGTTCATTCCTTTAAATTCTTGACAGCAGACATGTTATCTGGGAAGTGCATAACTATTACAGAGAGACAAGGTGGGTGAGGTAATAACTTTTATTGGACCAACTTCTTTGGGTGAAAGAGACAAGCTTTTGAGCTGAGAGCTCTTCTTCAATTGTGGATAAGCTCAAAAGCTTGTCTCTTTCACCCATAGAAGTTGGTCCAATAAAAGATATTGGCTCACCCATCTTGTCTCTCTAATATCCTGGAACTAACATGGCTACAGCAACACTGTAAATAGTGTTGCCAACCCCCAACATTCAAAAATCATGAGTCAGACCCCAGAAAATCCTGAGATAGACTTAGCAAATCAGGATTTTTACAGCTAATTAATCTCGGATTCTTTTTCTTTGCCTCCTGTTACCTGAGCCTTTAGGCTGCACTCAGGGCACATTTTCAACCTTTTCTTTGCAACCCTGAGGGCTAGAAACTTGCTTTTACTTTTAAATGCAAGCTGAGATTCTCATGGAATCACATCACTCCTGGATCTGGGCTTTAAAAAAATAATCACAAGAGTTAGCAACATTTCAGTGAAGGGCAGGATAGAGAACTCTAGGATAGAGAAACAGATGAAAATGCATAGCAAGAGAATTAGCACTGCATCATTCTCTAAACCTCCTGTTCTAGGATGTTCTGTTGTTTCAGTGAGATGAAAACTATCAGACCATTTTTTCCATTTTAATTAGATGTGGGGGAGATGTCACAGGGTGACTTGCCCTTTAAGGGGAGATAGGTCCAGAGCCCCACCTGTGACCCACTTAGCTTGTCTCCCCAGGTGGAGAAGATGAGCAGTGCCACAAGACAGGCAGGTTGTGTGGCTAGAATCAAGCTTTCTGGGGGTTGAGATAACAGAGAAGCCTGCAGAGAATCAAAGGGGAGACTCCAAGTAGGAAGCCCTCGGAGCTGTTGCTAGATGGAGAGCAGGGAGGGACTCAAAGGAGCAGGAGAGCAGCATGAGCTGCTCAGAGACTCTCCCAACTACCCAGGCAGGAGGGGTTCAAGCCAGCTGGGAGCAGCAGCCAGCGAGGATGGCTGGAAGGTGGAGAGCAAGTCTGCTAGAGGAAAGACTCAGCAGGGCCCAGCCTAGGATCACTGCACCAAGGGGTGGGAGCCAGCTAGGAAGGCTAGGGGAGTTCTTGTGTATCCAGACCCCGAGAAGGGGTGTTACAGGACACATGAAAGACCTATGCTGACGTTACTGGGAGCCCAAGAGGGGGAAACTGAGGCAGCCGCTAGCCTGCAGCCAGAGTGGGTAGGTAGTGCTGCTACAGGCAATTCAGCAGCTATTTAAAATTCTGCAGTCTGGCACTAAATTTTTCACAGTCCCAGTTCTGCACAAAGTAGGGGGTTAGTGATGCAGGGCCGCTCCATGTGACGCAGGCAACGGTCTAACCCCGAGCGCTGTCACTTAGCGCATCACTGAGGCTACTGTCATAAGTGGACTCATCGACAGCACGCATGGGGCACTATTGTGTTATAACACAGCAACATATGTGGTGTAAATGGAGCCCTACCAGTGTCCAGTCCCAAGTCTGCAGCCACACAGACCAAAGCAGCAATTATCAGAAAGGTGTGAGCTTTCTCCCATCAATAACATTATTCCCTTGTAAACACTAAGGGCCAGATTCTCAGCTGATGTAAATCAATGTCCCTCCATTGATTTCAGGAGAGTGATTCCAACATACATCACTTGCAGATCCAGCCCTGGCACTGCTGATCCTCTTATCCAAACCACCCGGTTTATGTACCCGCCCCTGCCAGCCACTCTATTCTCTGTGCAAGGACACTGCCTAGGAAAAAGGTTGTGAATATACAAAATAATTGACTCTTCTATCAGCTATTCTGTGGATTCCTCAAACCATTCCCGTGCTGGCCACCAGCCTTAGAAAGTAGGAGGGGAGCGGTGTTTACAATGTTGACAGCTGCAAAAATGTTGGAGCCGTGTGGGCAGGTTGTAGGATTCTGAGGGGCTCTTAGTAAATCTAGTCCAGCAGCATTCATACCCTTCACTTGAATAATCTCCGGCAGATCTTATCTACTGTAGGGCCATGTGGAATTGTAACTCAACTAAAGCCCTGCAGCCCTGGGGAAAGTGTGTGCAGGAATCCTGCAGGTTTTGTCTAAACTGCCTATGGGTGTCCCTGCCGGTGAGCAGCCCAACCTAACTTCTCTGGCAGTGTGGGGAAAGGATCAGGTTTCAATTTAAAAAATGAGGATTTGAATGGCAAATCTGGAGAGTTTAGCAAAAGCTCAAGCAAGACTTTAAGCCCCAGCCCTGCACTGTTCAGTGGGAGCGCCAAGAGGCATTGTTCAGGCAGGTACTCTGCCTCCCAGAGATCCGGGTCAGCACAGGCATCACTCTGTTACAGGATGCACTGTCTGCTCTGCTGCACAAGGGAGTGGAGGCATACGCCTTCCCCCTCTGGAGCCATGAGTGCTAGCCTTGTGCGGGCTGTGCGTTCTGCACGGCGCTGGGTCCACGGCAGGTGTGAGTCTGTCACAGCTCCAGCTGCAGAGGCTGGGTCTTTAGTTCAGGTTGTAGCTGCTTATGCTTTTTAAGTCTGGAGATCCCTGGTTCAGTTTCTGGGGTGTTGGTCAAAATGGTGGCTATCAAACTTGCACTTAACAAAGCACAAAGGCCGGGGTGGGCAGCGTCTTTGTGCCCTCTCCCGCTTTCTCGCTCTTCCACTGAAGGCCAGGCACAACCTAGCTCCAGAGAACGTAGCCAGGTGGCTTGCCAGGAGTGATGAGTGATTCTGAGTCAGCTGGTTAGACATTCCTCAGTGGAAACTTTTCCAACAATGCCGATTGGTCAAACTGGAAAAGTTTCGCGGCAATGGCTCCTTTTTGACCAAGTTCCGATGGATCCTCCCCTGCCAGGCAGGTTTAGAAAACTGCCTGGTTTCCTGCCAGCTCACCCACCCAGCCCTCCGCAGCCTACCAGGGCAGCCTGGGTTTCCAAACTCTAAGCTCTCAGGCAGCCTGCCTGGTGGGGAGCCAAGAAGCCCTGGGAACTGCCACTCCGAAGCTCCAAGGCTCTCTATTCAGCTGGGGCCCCCAGACTTACAGCTCCCTGCCAGTCCACCAGGTGGCTGCCAAAGAGCCGGGAGCATCGGTGCACCAGCTAACAGCGCCTCAGCAGCCAGAGCTACCAGAGTCCTGGGCTCAGGGACTGCCCGCCGGGCAGAGTGCCCCTCAGCTGGGGTTCCATTCCCTTTCATGGAGACTTTCAAAAATGTTGGGTTCCGTTCCAAATGGCAACATCCGTCCTCCCTGGAACAAAATTCCCTTTCTCCGCCCAGCTCTCATTTTGAGGTACCCAACTTGAGCCACTTTAGGCCTGGTCTACACTACGACTTTAATTCGGATTTAGCTGCGTTAATCCGAATTAACCCTTCACCCATCCACACTACAGAGCCAGTTAATTCGAATTAAAGGGCACTTAAAATCGATTTCTGTACTCCACCTCGACGAGCGGAGTAGCCCCAAAATCGATTTTGTTAATTCGAATTAGGGTTAGTGTGGCCGCACACCACCGAATTAATGTGGTTAAAAACCGAATTAATGTGCTTAGTGTGGCCGCGCACAATCGAATTTATACAACCTGTTTCCCAAATTCGAATTATCTAAATTCGGATTAATCCCGTAGTGTAGACATACCCTTAAAGAGACCTGTTTTTCAGACGGCTGGTTGCTAAGCACTTTTTTCAGAGCCCCCCCCCCCCCCCCACCCCGTTAGGCATGTCTCAAGTTGGACATCCAAAAAGTTAGGCATTAAAATCATGTGTCTCATTTAGTGCTGGCTGCTTCCTTCTACATCATGATCCATAGTCTTGCTAGGCCGTTTAAGGTACAGGTTTATTTTATTCATATGCCCAGATAAAATGAACCCACAAAGAAATCAAAAAAGAAACTTAAACCGAATACCTTCTAAACAATCCAGCCAGCTCAGTGCGCTCCAAACCCATTAACCTGCAAAATCCGCTCCGCCGCCAGGTCTAAAGGGAATAGCAATTAGCACTTTGCCCACAACCCATTACAATTAAATGCAAACAGAGCCACCAGATGGGAGTATAGATCACAAAGCTGGTTCACTTTCAACAGATCCTGGGCAAAGTACCAGCAACGGTGCTTGGTTCAGCTTCAGCCAGGGAGGAGGAATGGCCTTTCCAATTGTATTCAGTTCTTCTTATGAGCTAGGAGTGCAAATTCCCTCCCTCCAGTAATCTGTTACTTTCAGCCTCAGAGGGTCCCCACATGCTTCCCAGGCAATCTGTAAGATCTTCACAGGTGCTGAGTACCCACAAATCCCATTGAAATCAAGGGAGTTGCAGGTGCTGAGCACCTGATTCAGAATTCCTAATGTGGATATCAGTGGAGGCTGAATGAGCAAGGGCCTGTAGAAACTCTTCTCCCGTGAATGAAAGGCAGCCACCTCTGGGGGAGTGGTGGCAGGCGGCTGGAGCATGGCATGTTGCACAACAGCTGGGATGGGGAATGCTGGCCAACAACTGTCTGCAGGGCAAACTCCTGTTGTTACAAAACCGTGCCATGAGATGTTTAAAGTCAGATTGGCCCTATTAGGGCATGTTTACATTGCATGCTAAGCTCGGGCTCCAACTTAGGTTTCAGCCAAGTCCCTTTTCTGTCCACACACACATCAGTCTGACTCGGGTCAGCAAGCACTCAGGACCCAGGTCCTAGGACCCTCCTAGTGGGGTGGGTCAGAGCCTATGTCCCGCTGTGACTTGGGTCCAAGCGCTGTCATTTTGCAGTGTGGACGCAGGTCAAGCTGCAGACCCGAGTCAGAAGATCTGCATAGTGCAGTGTGGATGTGTTAGCACAGCTGTGAAAGCTGAGTCCAGGTTTACAATGCAATGTGGATGCAGCATGGGCTTGGAAACACCAAGTCCACAAGCCTGGGTCCCAGAGACCCAGGTGTACAATGCAATGTAGACATACCCCTGGACACCAGCCCACCTTAGGGTACTGTGGAACCTCCTGCCCCACAGGGGAAAAGCATTGTGCTGTAGGAAGACATAAGACTCCCTGGAGCTTCCCAGCACACAAGGTGAGCACATCTGCTACCCCATGTCTTAGCAGAGCCGGCTGGCTGCAGAGGGTGAGCAGGGCAGTGGCCTCACCTCCTGCCTACCACCACCATCTCCTCTCGGGAGCCTAGTGCCCCAGGGACATCTCTGGACTCGGGAGAGCCCCAGGCTGCCCATGCACAACACTCACAGCCTTGACATCTAAGGATCCTCCCAAAGGGAATTGCCTGGCAGTCTGTTCCTTGACCACAACAGGATGAGGGGGTCAGTGCAAGCAGGGAGGGAGGCTGTGCGCCTGGAGTTTGGAACCAGTCGCTTGGCTCACAAAACTGTCCCTTCGGGCAGCTACCCACCTGGAACACTGTTAGCTGGCGTTTCTGCAGTGAGCTGGCATTTCTGCTTACAGCAGCAGGCTAAATATCAGCCAAGTGCTTTCAGATATTTATAGGGCACCGAGAAATCTCTTTCATTGGAACGTATTTCTGCCACCTACGCAGTATTAGATCCAACAAGCCGACAGTTCTTCACCGCAGAATCTCCTGGCTATTTCGAAAGCTTTATATTGGTGCGTCTGTTATTCCTGTCATACGTCCCCATTTGTCCTTCCCTTACACACCAGCGAAAGATGCTAACACTTTGCACCTCTGCAGCTGCTGCTGTTTGAGCATCCCAGAGCACTTTGCAAACATGAATAAATTTAGCATCAAACCCTCTCTGAGGACGGCATTATTATTATCCCCTTGTAGCAGATAGGGAACCTGAGGCACATGAGTTAAATCCTTGTCCTACAGAGTATATAGGAGTTTTGACTTCACTGGGGGGCCAGGATTTAACACTGCAGATTTGATGCTCCAGGGCCTTGCACCTTGTATGTTATTTACACCAGTGAAAAGTGGGTGCAAACACAATCGGAGCAGACTGGCAACTGTTATAGCGACTCTGCACAAGAGTGAAAGCCTGCACAATGCAGAGACAAAGTGGGTGAGGTAATATCTTTTATTGGACCAACTTCTGTTGGGGAGAGAGACAAGCACAGACTTTATCCTGGGACTAACACGGCACCAACAACACTGTGTGCACAGTGCAGTTACCAGTAAGACTCTGAACTGAGCAAGGCGACACAGAAGGCCTGTGGGAGAGCTGAGAACAGAACTCTAAAATCTCCTGATTCCCAGCGCTGTGCTGTGCTCATGAGACCATCCTTTCTGCAAAGTGAGTGGAGACAAATCAGCCCTCACCTCCTGCTCCCTGCGCACTTGCATGAGGCAGCAAAGATGGTGTGTGTAACCCTCGCTAACCCCGCAATTCCTTCCTCCCTGAATCCTCAGCACAGGGCAGGAAGGCAATGCTTTGTTTGGGAAAACTGTCCATTTGGTTTCTCCACCTCGCTGGTGCAACTGGCTGGCTGGGCCTGTGCTTGCTAAGGAGCTGTTCACGCCAGTGACGCAGTGAGCAGCTACAGTATGGAATCGCTCTGTTCTGGGTACGATAAGCGGGAGCCAGGATTGTTGTTGTAAGGCATTACTCTGCCTCAACCTTCGGCTTTCGTCACAAGAACACGCTAAACCAACCCCACCACTTGATCCCCCAGCATGTGCTGTCTTCTATGTGTCAGCCTTGGAGACTTGTGCTCTCTGGGGCAGGGGCTTGCTTTCTTTGTGTGCCCTATGCAGTGCTGAGCGCAGTGTGAATAATATAAGTAACATCGAGAACCATGTTTGCTCCTTTTAATTGTAACTGCGTCCACCTCTTGGAAACTGCTAACTTGGCTAGTATTGCAATCCATAATCCATTGCGTTATATACTGTCCACTTACCCCATTGCACTGTCCTGTGCAATTTCCATTTAAACAGAAAGCATCCTCTTCTCTGTGCAGAGTGAGGGGACTGTGCTGCAGGCAAAGAACCCGACAAGCCTGATCTCCATGTTGCTGGCCCAGACTGGCTCTGCTATGTACCATTTTTAAACACAGTAATGCATACAACAACCTTGTAGGACGCAGACTTATACAGATGCACACTTCATGGAAACCCACTTCTAACCTGCACAGAACAGAGTAAACACTAATAAACCACCCTGAGTGGAATGGTATAGCCTGGCTGCAGAAATAGGGGGAAGAGAGGAAATCCGTGTGTCTGTGAGGACACCTGCATTCAGGAAGTGCCTTTTAATGGGTAGACTTGTGGCCCGGGAGTTGGGATTTCTGTGTTCTAGTCCCTGCTCTGCCACTGACTCCTCAGACCATCCATTTCCCCCTCTGTAAAATGTAATGATTAGTGCTTTGCTTGTGAACCAATTGCCATTGACACTATAGACTTCAAAGGGTTTTACAAAGGTGGATAAGCATTACTGTCCCTTCTTACAGATGGAGAAACTGAGGCACAAAGATTTGCCCAAGGTCTCACAGCAAGTCCTTGGCAGAGTCATAAGCAGACTCCTGACTACCAGCTCTTGCTTCAGGCACTAGACTACAGCTGCCCCTCTCTGTAGGGTATTCCCTTAGTGGGTTGAGGATTCACTCGTGTGTTTACAAGGTGCTTTGAGATCCCTGAATGAAAGTGCAACGTCCACTGTGGAACTTAAAGGCCAGTGTGAAAGGGCAGAGGTTTGCATGACATACTGAACAGGTTTTGAAAGGGACCATCTCTATTTAAGAGGGAACCTTTGTGTCAGATTTTGCCTTGCTAAAAACTCATGGAGCGCCAATGGCGGGCGCTACACTGATTTACACAGCTGAGGATCTGGCCCAGTGTCTTTTATTGAATAGCAAAGTAAGAAGTGTTTTGAATGTTGCTTTCCTGACAAAGTGCATGTTCGTCTTCCCTTGGGACGTCTAGTTTCATAGGCCAGTGGATTCAGGAGGGCGATTTTCAGGTGTTAATGATGACTTTCCTACAAACCTTTCCCTATTTCAGATCCCCCTGGAGGAGAAAAGAAGCTGGTACTTCACTATGGCCACGCTGTACATCAGGTAAGAGAGGGAGTGCCTGGCGCGGAGCTGGAAGAAGAGAGCGGAACAGCACCGAACACCTTCTTCAAGGGTGCCATGAGAAATAAACAGCAGCAGGTTACAGTGGAATGGGGGAGTTTGCCTGCAACCTGGCAGACCATCTGCTTTGTTTCTTGGGAAGTTGTAGCAAGGACTATGAGATGCCCAAGCCTGACTCAACCAAGACAAAGGCATTGAGAGCAGGGACCGATAGCTCCAGTGTGGGATGGATTGTAACTGCCCCAGGTGACAGGTGCTAGTTAACATCTCTCTCCAGGTGAATTAAACGCCCAGTCTATTCAGACCCCATTCAGGACACAATCAAAATCCCTAGTGACCGATCCCCTAGAGCGATCTCTTTGAGCCACAAGCCAGAGAATTTCCTTAGTCGTTTCTTCACTAGGGTGTTTAATTTGTTCTGGGTTCTCAGGGGCATTTTACCTTTGATTTCCCCATGGGAACTCCTCACAGGCCAACATTTCCCGCTCTCTGGTGACCACGGAGGGGAGGTGGTGTGTCCCTGGCTGTGGTGCACTATGGGAGATGTTTCTTCAGTGGGATCAGGATTTGCCCCATGGTGCAGAGAAAGGGACTTTCACTCTCTTTTTATTGCACAGCAAACCAGAGCACACCCCTCTAGTGAGGCCTGGGCTAGCAAGCGGTGGAAAACAGGTAATGCATCAGGGGAACTGAAACCAACTTAGCATCACAGTACAATGGTGCCAAATGCCAGGGGGAAATGGATTCCACAGACAGAGTAGGACTTGTGTAAACGACTCAGAGGGAAATCCTGGTTCCATTGAGCTCAACGGCAAAACTCTCAATTACCTCAGTGGGGCCCAGAGTTCACCCTATATCAGACTTGTTCTTTCTTACTGCCTGGTAGGAGAAGGGGCTTCACAGAGAAACTCAGATACCATGGTCATGGGCACTGAATTAGTGGATTACGAGGGCAGAGTTCATTCTACCTGGCACAGGGTGGCTGGCCCTTTAAAGGAGTTGGGCCTAGCCCTCCTTTGCCTAGTTACCTGCCTTTCTGGTGATGGCTCTGAGGCCAGGGATCAGGTGATAGATTGCAAGTCACTGGGCCCAGATCCACAAAGGTATTTAGGCTCCTAAATTCTAGGCCTTGGGCCTTAGATAGCTGGGCTGCTTCTTTGGCCTTTTGAGAGTGAGACCTGCAGGAGACTCTGGGTCCTGGCCTGATTTCATGAGTTGGATTTGTGTTGTGCTGTTTGATTTGGAGAAATAAAACTCAGCCCTTAAGAAAGGATCTGAAATTCTCCCCCTAGCCCTGAGCCGCCTCCCACACACCAAAACTGCTGCTGCTGAAGTCACGGAAAGTCACGGAATCCGTGACCTCCATGACAGACTCGTAGCCTTAATTATAGTTACAGCTAACAAAAATAGGGTTACCATACGTCCGGTTTTTCCCGGACATGTCCGGCTTTTTGGTAATCAAACCCCCGTCCGGGGGGGATTGCTAAAAAGCCGAACATGTCCGGGAAAAATGCTGGCCGGGCACTTCCCCTCCCGCGGCTGCTCTGCTCCTCC